TATATTGGGGTGAGGAGTTTTTTGGGGTGCCTCTTACCTTGGGGGTGTGCGGGGTGTCGAAGAGGCGCAGTTTACGGAAGGTCTTGTGCGGTGGGGTCCCAGGACAGTCCGGTATTGGGGAGCTCGATCCCTCCCTCTGCCCCCTCCGGTAGAGGCACGGTGACCCGCTTTGGCCCCCCCGGAACGGGTAGGGGGAAGCCGGCGATCCGGGGCTCATGGTGAAATCTCCTCCCGGGGATTTGACAGGTGAGACCCCGATGCCTTCCTCGTCCTCCGCCCAGGCCCGGCTCCCCGGGGGGCTCTCCTCCTCCTCCCGGCCCGTCTCGCTCTCCTGGAAGGCCGAGTCGTCCCCGGTGCTGTGGCCGTCCTCCTCCTCGCAGTCGCTGAAGAGCAGTTTGTGTCGGATGTCCATGTCGGCTCAGCGGCGACTCCGGGTCACCATCCTCCAGTGTCGGCTGATCGTTGAGCTCGGTCGTCCCTCTCCGTGCCTGCGCGACCGTTAGTCACAGGGGGCGGAGCGCGGGGCGGGCCAATGGGAGCTAGCAGGGCGCATAGTACCCGGGGGAGGGGCCCGGATCAGCCAATAGCAGGGGGGCAGTGGTTTCAAAATGTCTCCGCCTAGAGGGCCTCGTGCACTGTGCTGGGAGATTTGGCGCCAAGTGGAGTTGTATTGGGGCGGTGTTGTGAGGTGGGTGTCATGTGACGGGCAGGATAAACACTCTAAGCACCGCCCTTCTCTCCGCCTCTCATGAATCATGTCTGCAGGCACGAGTCATCTCCGCCGCCATATTGTTTCCCTGATTTGAACTGACTGTACACAGACCTCGCTGTCACCTGTGTTTGGGTGTACGCCCTGTCTGTCTGTACACCCGGAAAAATGGGCAGCTCAGCCTTGTATTTATTCTCAGAGATAGAGAACAGACTGTAAACCATCATATTCACTACACAAAATGAAACTGATACACCTTCCTATTCACCTCAGACCTATACACCCTGATGTGTACCTCAGAATACTAAAATGGGGTGTACACCTCCATACGTTATCCTGGGCATATACTTCACATCGATATATATATATATATTGGGGTGTACACCCTCATGATCCTCATGATTACCCCGACATATACCTCACATCTTTATATATTGGGGTGTGCACCCTCATACGTTACCCCGGGCATATACCTCACATCTCTATATATATTGGGGTGAACACCCTCATACGTTACCCCGGGCATATACCTCACATCTATATATATTGGGGTGTACACCCTCATACGTTACCCCGGAAATATACCTCACATCTCTATATATGTTGGGGTGTACACCCTCATGATTACCCCGACATATACCTCACACCTATATATATATATTTGGGTGCACACCCTCATCATTACCCCAACATATACCTCGCACCTCTATATATTGGGGTGTACAACCTCATCATTACCCCAACATATACCTCACACCTATATATATATATCGGGGTGTACAACCTCATCATTACCCCAACATATACCTCACACCTATATATATATTGGGGTGCACACCCTCATCATTACCCCAACATATACCTCACACCTATATATATTGGGGTGTACAACCTCATCATTACCCCAACATATACCTCACACCTATATATATATCGGGGTGTACACCCCCATCATCACCTTCACATATACCTCACACCTATATATATATTGGGGTGTATACCCTCATCATTACCCCAACATATACCTCACACCTATATATATTGGGGTGTACACCCCCATCATCACCCCAACATATGCCTCACATCTATATATATACACTGTATATATATATAGTAAAGTTTTCTGCTTTGCAATTTACAGGTTATATGTCGGGGTGTATAAATTGGGTGTTTGTGCTTATAATTTGCGATCACATTTTTTAAGGGGGTGTATGTCCTGATATCAGCAGTGTCACCCCGATGTGTCTCCACAGTGTGACTGCTGAGAACATTGTCCCAGCCTGGCCCAGACCCAGAGGACATTGCCCCAGCGTGGTCCTGAGGACATTGTCCCAGCGTGGCCCAGAGGACATTGTCCCAGCCAGCCCCAGAGGACATTGTCCCAGGGCGGTCCAGAGAACATTGTCCCAGCGCGGTCCAGAGGACATTGTCCCAGCGTGGCCCACACGATATTGTCCCAGCGTGGCCCACACGATATTGTCCCAGCGTGGCCCACACGATATTGTCCCAGCGTGGCCCACACGATATTGTCCCAGCGTGGCCCACACGATATTGTCCCAGCGTGGCCCACACGATATTGTCCCAGCGTGGCCCACACGATATTGTCCCAGCGTGGCCCACACGATATTGTCCCAGCGTGGCCCACACGATATTGTCCCAGCGTGGCCCACACGATATTGTCCCAGCGTGGCCCACACGATATTGTCCCAGCGTGGCCCACACGATATTGTCCCAGCGTGGCCCACACGATATTGTCCCAGCGTGGCCCACACGATATTGTCCCAGCGTGGCCCACACGATATTGTCCCAGCGTGGCCCACACGATATTGTCCCAGCGTGGCCCACACGATATTGTCCCAGCGTGGCCCACACGATATTGTCCCAGCGTGGCCCACACGATATTGTCCCAGCGTGGCCCACACGATATTGTCCCAGCGTGGCCCACACGATATTGTCCCAGCGTGGCCCACACGATATTGTCCCAGCGCGGTCCTGAGGACATTGTCCCAGCCAGGTCCAGAGGACATTGTTCCAGCGTGGCCCAGAGGACATTGTCCCAGCAGACTAGAGGACATTGTCCCAATACGGTCCAGAGGACATTGCCCCAGCGCGGTCCAGAGGACATTGTCCCAGTGTGGCCCACACGATATTGTCCCAGCGTGGCCCACACGATATTGTCCCAGCGTGGCCCACACGATATTGTCCCAGCGTGGCCCAGAGGACATTGTCCCAGCGTGGCCCAGAGGACATTGTCCCAGCAGTTGTTTCAGTATATTCGAAAAGTAGATCTGTTCGCCTCCTCCCCGAGGGAGCTGACAGTCTAATGCCCCCACTACACCCAGGCCTGGTTCACACCTAGGCGATTGATATCGCACAGAACAGAGATTTGCATTCAAGTCTATGGAAGCTGTTCACACCTTTTGCGGTTTTTTTTGTGCGGTAGAAACCGCCTGTCCCGCGGGAGCCATTTTCGGGCGGTAGTCGCTCGGTTTGGGTCCCATAGACATCTCTATGCATTAAAAAACCACGCGGTTTTCAAAGCAAAATCGCACAAACAAAAATGCGTGAAAACAGCTCACCAGCTCAATGGCCCGGTGTGCACCTAGCCCGATACCCCCTCTTGCCGGGCAGACATACATGTAGTTACAATGAAGTCAAAATTAATATCATCATCGTCATCGTCTGGCTTCTCCTTTGTATTCAAAAATAAACCTCCTCAGACGTATGATAATCAGCTGACACGGCGCGCGGCCTTTAAACTGCCTCAGTGTGAGTAATCCCTTTAAGAGAAGCCACACATAATGCAATCAGGATCTGCCCGGACGTGTCACCGGCTTCAGCTGGAGGGTCACTCGATGTCCCGTTCAGGATCAGCGCATTCATTCATCATCAGATAAAACCGTCGCAGCATTTCACCAACTTCAATCCGGAACTGAAATCTTTTCACTCGTTTGTTTGTTTTTTTATGTGTAAAGAATGAAAAACGTTTTATAAAGCGCAGAAGGAGAAGATGGTGTTGCCGTGGTGATCCCGTGGTGTTCCCGTGGTGATCCCGTGGTGATCTCGTGGTGTTCCCGTCGTGATCTCGTGGTGATCCCGTGTATACATTGAGGTACATAGATTGCGCGCGACGATCACTTTGTATCAGAAACAACGGCCATTGTTATAAAAACAGGAAACGGTCTTCTTCTCTTTTATACTTTGTTGCATGTCAGCAGCCTGTTCGCACCTGTGCATCGCGGCGATGTGCATGCGTTTATGTGCGTTGCAGTTGTATAAGTGTTAAAGGAGAACTATGGGGTTAAGTCTTTTCCCCATAGTTCTCCTTAGGTAGAGCCGTGACAGGATCGAGAGGTGAGCGAACGCCGGCATGTGTTCGCTCACCTCCCGATCTACTGAGCCGACCTGTGACAGTCTCATTGCCACAGGTCGGCTAGAACTATGAGCTGAGTGAAAATCACTCCCCCTCCCTCCTCATAGTTCTCCTTTAAGAAGCCCTTTCATTTAGCATGGGCCGCAGTGCCCCAAACATGCTCCAGTTTTCTGCAAACTGTGGTGCAACTACAAATCCCATGAGGCATTGCAAGGCTCTGACAGCCGCAGGCATGACTCCCAGAGGTAGATGCATGATGGCACTTTCAGCACT